CCACTAACTGCCTGAACAACAATCTGTGAGGGGGAACATCATCTGAACCATCCTTCTCTGTAATCTCACCGATGTCAAGTGTGCTCCAAAATTGGTGTAAGTATTTTGGAGTTAAAATATCGCTGGCCTCCATTACACGCTTAAGTATACATGCACAAGGGAGGGAATGAGTTTGTTTCAGGTAATGATTGCATTCCCAATATACATCATCTCCGAGTTGTTGCATCCTTTCTAATTTATTTTTCAATAGATCCAAGCAGTAGTGTGAAACATTGCATCTTAATTGGTAGAAAGGGTACTTGTTGTGTTGCCTCCCTATTTTCTGCCTTGATTCTTGCAATTTCTCCCTGTACAGGAATTCAAAAAAATTAATTAAACAACCTAAACACATAAATTAACTAAAAAGGGATCAACAGGCCTGTACCTTATTTGCGTAAGCTGTGTCTCCAGTAACATGTGAACCCTGTACCACACCGTTTCAAACGAAGCATTTGGAATGACGAGCCATTCCTTTAACAACTTGTGTGCGCTCTCCACTCTACAGGTAGTGGTGTTGCCAAAATGCAAATAAGTGTTGGTCCATGCACGCACAAACTTGTGCGCCACCACTAACCATGTGTTCCTAACATACTGTAGAACGGCCTGAAATTGGATCCAATTATGCTCCAGAAACTGCACTCTTTCTTCGTATACGTCCCTGGTTTCAGCTTCGATCACTGCTTTGAAGGCATTATATGCGAAACTTTTTGCTGTATGAGCATTTCCATTCAAAATTCTTTTCACATTTCTTTCAACATCCCTGTATACATGCCACGTACACAATAAGTGATGTGAAGATGGAAATACATCATCAAGAGGCCTCATCAGTCCAGGCTCCCGATCAGTCATGATGACACTCGGATGCATATCTTCGCCATACAAGTTACGGAGTTGCCACAGCACCCAATGGTAGCTGTCCCCTGTCTCATCACTCAGAATGTCATATGCTATGAGGAATGTCTGATTGCAAGGGGTCATTCCAACAAACTCCACAAGAGGCAGTTTATATTTGTTTGTGTTGTATGTGGAATCTACACAAACAACCCAAGGATACGTCCGCAATAACAACAAAGAATCCGGATGTGCGAAAAAGACGTGGGATAACCTCTGTGTCTCTTCATCGCACTCCGTGAAGATGATGTATTTGTGCTGTTCTGCGACCTCTAACACCTTTCCCACTACGTCCATGGCAGCCAGGTCATCTAGAATTGGAAACCCCGCCTTACGCAAAAAATTTCTGTAGTTGTAGACTTGTTTAGCGGTTACCTTTTCATCGGGAAATTGTGTCCATATCGCCCGTAAAATGTGGACTGCCTTAGTCCCAGCTTTGGAGTACTCTTTAATAAGCTCTTTTACTTCAGTACTCAATGGCCTCCTGACTCGAGGTGGATCTTTCAATGAATGGTTGTGCATTCCCCACGGACCTGGATATACACGGATTGCCCACCTATCATACATCTTGTAAGTAGTAACACGAAACTGGCATCCGATCATCTGTGTCTTTGTATTGGCTCGGGCCCGCACGTTTTCATCCACCTGTTCACCTTGGTACCGCCCCCCTTTATGACAAAGGAGTATAGTACTATTATCCTTATGCGAGGATATACTTAACACCATATTGTAGATGTTCACAATACCCTTCACATATTCAATAGCTTCCGTGTTCGTTGTGAAAGTCTCGTCTGTAGCAAAAGCCGCACTATAATCGATTCCATCCCCCTGATCAAAACTATTCTGCACACACACATTAAAAACAAATTATATCATAACTTAAGTTAACTCTAACATTGTTAAACCACAATTAATTTGATATGAGTAAACATTGTTATAGAATCCGATATAATGATCTTTTACTTTAAAGATAATTAATATATACTAATAACTAACTAAAAATATTATTGATAAAAACTCATTATTTTAACAAATATCCTAATCCCTAACAACTATACGCATTAACATACAACCTAAATACCCATTTAACAAGAAACAAAGTATTTCTTACGAGCATACTACGTAATTAACATATAACAGTATACGTAATTAAAAAATATTCTCTAAATATCTAGCATAAACCCTAATTTTCTAAACATATATTAAACTACAAAACAAATACTCAAATAAAATAAATACATGAATTAATTAAATTTGTTAAACTAATAATAATAATTTTTAAACTAATAAATATTAAATATATTAAAAAATTTAATAAAAAAAAAATTGGCTGGCGCCCGTTTGGGCGCCACCAACACGGTGGTTGGTGAGCATTTGCTCGCCAACCATGAGAGAGGTGGCGCCGAATATGGCGCCACCGCCTTCGCCATTGGCGAAGGCTTGCCTCGCCTCCCCTGTAAGGGGAGGCGAGCTTATTGCACGCCATCCCCAAGGGGATGGCGTGTTTCTCCAGCGCTAGCCATTAACGGCTGGCGCGTTTCTCCCTCGCCACCCCCCCGTTTTCCGGAAAAAAAAAAACTTACCTCCATTTTCAGGGGCGTGTTGGTCTTTCGCGGGCGCTCAAATGAAAAAATAAGGGCGTTCAACAGTTCGACCAAAGAAAAGATTTGCCAATCATCTAAGCCTTAAACTTAAATAGTTAAATTCCAAATGAAAAATGTTAAGAATGAATGATTATGATTAATTTCTTGTTATTTTTTCTAGTCATTTTTTCCATGTACGTATCATTATTCTTTTAAAAAACACTCTAGTCAACTGGGTTTTTTTTTTTAAATTTTTATTTGTCTTTTAGTCCTTAATTTGGAAAAGATGGCTGGATCAAACAAATATAGTTTAGTTTAAATTTGTGTATTATAAATTAATCCAAACTGAGAGAAACCGGGTTAATTAATAGAGATCCTAAAGGAGCGTGTCATTTTTCGGTTCAGGAAAAAAAAAAAGAGTAAATTCTCTTGTATGCATACTTTCTTCATGTTTACTACATTGGCGGGGCATTTCAAATTTGATAGGTTGCACTCTCTATGTTTTTAAAAATAGTTCACAATGTATTTTATAAATTAATTATACTAAACATAATGCAATGCATAATCCCCTAGTGCAGATCTCCTCCACGCTCTACTCAGTTTTTGATTGGACAAATTCTGTGTTTAAGTCTCCAAATAAGAAACCTATACAATTAACTGCTCTCACCGTCTCATCCTCTTTCTTCTTATTTTGGAATCGGGTGATGATATAATATAATCTAGTCGAAAACAAGGAGGACAACTTTGAGCTAATAAGTCAAATGAATTACTACATTACACTGCTTTTTAACTTTAGTACTTCCAAAACATTAAATGTTGAGAGATAAAAACTAAAACAAACCCTATTGATCTCCCTTCACATGGTACATTAGTCTCTAGAAAGGACGGATACGCATCTTTGTTGATCTCTCCAGAATGGTTTCCAGGAATGATCCTTGGATCTGGTATTTCCATAACTCCAATATGGAAATAGTGAACCCAATACAAAAACAGACACCAATGTAGAGTCTGAAGATGATTTCATGCTTGGGGATTTTTCTGGAAGCTGGATGATTTTTGGAAGTTTCTGGTTTGCCCCTGCAAGATCGTTGAAGAATATTTCCGCACAATCCCGGATTCCCCTGATAACTCTCAGCAGGGAAAGTATCAAACTGACCTCCTGTTGGTATTGGGCCTTGCAGATTGTTATCCGAGACATTGAAGAAAGAAAGGAAGTGTAAGTTTCCCACTGATTCTGGAATTTCACCAGACAAGTGGTTTTTTGAAAGGTCCAATATTTCCAAGTTAACGAGAGAAGAAATGGTAGAAGGAATGCTGCCAGAAAAACTATTATCACTCAAATCCAGGACATGGATAAACTTTAATCTGCCTATCTCCATTAGAATGTTTCCACTGAGATTGTTTGATCTGAGATATACTGCAGGGGGGAGGCTGGATAACTGATTGACTTTGTTGGAGGTATTAACAAACACTGGAGGCTCCAAAAATGGTTGATATACTTGATTTGCAGCCTGATTGCTCGCCAATCGAGGCATTACGGTTAGTTCTACGGGAAACTCTCCGGTGAGACGGTTCTGAGACAAATCCAAGAAGAAAAGGTCTGGCAAGCTACCAAAGAAACTCGGAATGGATCCTGTCAGGTAATTATATGATAAGTCAAGGACCTTCAGCTTTTGCAACTTTGTTCCCCATCTTGGAATTGGTCCACTAAAATGGCAATTGCCCAAATCAAGAACTTCGAGATTTCGAAACCCTTGAGAACCAATTAAACTGTCATCATCAAAACCATCAGGAAGCAATTCATTATGGAAATTCTTTCCAAGAAGCAGTGTGCTGAGAGTTCTGCAATTTGATAGAACCCTCATTGCACCGGCGAAATTTGTCAGAGAGTTGTTTGAAATTGAAAGAAATGAAAGAGAATACAGGTCCTGAATGTTTGGAGGAATATCTCCAGTAAGCTGATTAACAGCTAGGCGAACCGCTATCTGTGATTTGCAGCTAAAACGGGTTGGTGGAAGGCTACCATTAAAAAGGTTATTACCTAAGTCAATCAGTCGAAGTTGAGTGAGTTTTGAGAAATTCAAATTGGAAAGTTCACCAGTGAAGGATCAATACCGTGAGTTTTGTACAATTTGTGACAGAAATAGGCAGAACGCCATTGAGTTTGTTTATATGAAGGAAGAGGTGTACCAGGTTTGAGAGTTTTCCGATGTCAGGAGGGATTGCACCGGTCAATTCATTACCATATAAGGAAAGATGGTAAGGCTATTGAGATTGGAAATTTCATTGCTAAGTGATCTATTGAGCTTATTTCCAGGAAAAGATAGTACTTGCATTGTTAACAAGTTGTAAATGTCTTGGGGCAGAGATCCTGAGAGTGAATTAAACCACTCAAGTTCTTAGGGTATTGAACCACTCAAGTCATTGTAAGAGAAATCGAGGACTCTGATGGAAGCGGAAATGCTGCATATGAACCAAGGAACTGACCCGTATAAGAAGTTGTCGCTGATGTTAAAACTTACCAAGTTAATTGCCTGCTCCAGGAATTCAAGCGGGATTGTTCCATCAAGGTCATTGCTGGAAAAATCCAATGACTTAATTGTCGCTGGAATCTTATCCGTAGATAGTAGCTGTCCCGAGAGACGATTGTTGCTCAAATCAATGACCTGCAGCTGATTCAGGGACGCGAATAAATCATCTGGAAGTGTACCCATGAGGGAATTGCCTGTGAGATTAATTTCAAGAAGATGGCTGAGGTTAGCAATATACAGAGATATGCTTCCAACAAGCCCTCTTGATGGCAGCTTTAAACTAATTACCCTTCTGGTCCAGATATCACAAGTAACACCTTCCCACACGCAGCAATCAACTGAAACATTCCATTCAAGACGGCCAGAAGATCGAGTCGTTATGTTATTAGAAAACGACAACAATGAGTCGCGATCGATCAGATTGCAGGAGACGGCATGACAGGTGGCCGCAAAGCAGAGAAATCACATGATTGCAGCAAATACAATCAGCACATCCAAGTTAATGGGGCGAAAAGGTTTAATGAGACTAATCCAGCGGTATAAAGGATGAGGAGGAGAAGAACTTGAGGAAGAGAGCATGGCAGCTCTACGAATCATGATGTTTGATTCTTATCTGTCAAGCCAGATTGGCAGAAATGACACTTCAGAACAACAAAAGAACAAAGCTAAGAATGTCAACTTTTCGAGTTTGTTATTTAAGATGCTTGATTAGTCTACCTATTAAATTTCAGCAAATATTATCTTCGGGTTAGGTAACCGAAGAGTTTACTTTTAGGGACACCTTATTGGTGCACTCTCTATAAATTATGCCTCTATAACAAACTTTGAAACTACATAGAATTGTCTTCAAGCAGCCTATCCGATGTGATTGGTTTAAAAAAAGAATAGATAGCATTTCAGTGAGTTTTGAGGGAGCTAAGGTGAAAATGATTGAAAAAGACAGGAAGAATTAAGTATCAACCGAATTCAGTCAGTCTTCTACTTTTATATTACTACTATATTTGTCATGCGTAAAGAACATTCAAAAGATGCGTTATAGGGGGGAAAGAAAAATACATGAAGCAAAACTCAGCAAGTTTATAGATTTGGAATCAGTATGTCATAGATTAATGATTTCCAGAGTCTTCCATCGTGCCTGGAATTTTGAAGAAATTCCACGATTGCTGTAGTTTAAAATCAGTCTGATGCTTCAAATCACTCTAATAATAGTCAGTCCGTTGGGGCTTCATTTTCCAAACCATGTTTCTGATGGTGACTGTCCACGGAGAATTTGATTAATATTCTGAAATGAAATGTGGAACCTGGACCGTCTTCCCACAACTAGTTTCACATGAGTATATATGACCATACTATATGTAAAATCAATGTTGTATGAATGAAAAAGCATTAAAATAACTCATTAAAACCTTCAGAAACAGAATGAACATTCCAATCAGAAAAATCCATGAATTGAGAGAATAAACATGGTGGTGGAAATTTGATATTGGAAAGGCTTTGTATTTGTTGGTGAAGATAAAGCGACATCAGTATGAACATGGTTGTTGGACTAAAATAATGCAACAAACATTTCTTCTTTTTATTTTTTTTTAATTGGACGGGGGATTGTTATTTTGGCTTTAGAGATTATTTCAGCCTCAGGTTAACTCAGGTTAACTTTTAACAAATTGAAGTTCATTTTGTCTGATCACTTGTTTGAGTTCAAACTCAGGTTAACTTTTAACAAATTTAAGTTTAAGCAGGAGCAGAGTTCTGACCAATTACACCGATTTCTATTTTTCACGCTTTGATTTCATAAATTTATCAACGTCGGTAATTGAATAAAAAAGAAAAAGAAAAAAAAAACAGGAACACTTTCTATCTTAATCTACTCCAAGGATCACAATTTGTTGGATGTCATTTCCAGGTGTTTTAGAGTTGGTTTCTCATCTCTACAATCTCTAAACAGGACGAATACGCGTCCTTGTCAGTCATATAAGAATCTTCTCAATGAATGATCCTTCTATCTGAAATTCCCGTAATGCCAACGTAGAAATCGCGAATCCAATACCCAAAACAGACTCCAACGTACAATTCAAAGATGATTTTGTCCTTGGAGATTTTTCTAGTAGCCATATGACTTGCTGAAGGCTTTTTATTTGCTGGTTGACCAGCGGAAGGTCGTTGCAGATCTCGTGAATATAGACCTGGATTTCCCTCAAAGCTATCATTGGAAAAAGTTACAAATTGACCTCCTGGTGGTATTGGGCCTTGAAGATTGTTGTTTGCTACACTGAAGAAACTCAAAAATTGGAAATTTTCGATTGAAGTTGGAATTTCACCAGTTAAGTGGTTATCTGAAAGGTCTAATTCCTCCAAATTAATGAGATAAGACATTGTGTTATGAATGCCTCCCGAGAACTGGTTGTGACTGAGATTCAGCAAGTATATAGATCTCAATCGGCCAATCTCGGGTAGGATGCTTCCACTGAGGTTGTTGGAACCTAGAAATAATGCAGGTATAGATAATTGAAAGTATTGTAGGGTGGAGATATTGTCAGGCTTAACAAACTCTAGAAGCTCCAAGAAAGTTTGATCCACTTGATCCGACGCCAATTGGTTTGCCCATCGTGGCATTTTGGTGAGTTCCAATGGAAATTCTCCAGAGATATGGTTCTGAGACAAATCCAGGTAAAAATGGTCTGGCAAACTCGTAAAGAAAGTAGGAATAGGGCCTGTCAGGTCATTATATGATAAGCCAAGAGCCTTTAGCTTTGGAAGCTTACCCAACCAACTTGGAATTCGGCCACTGAACTGGCAGCCACTTAACACCAGAAACTCGAGATTTTGAAACCCTTGAGAATCAAGAAAACTATCATCATCATCACCTGGCAATGGTTCTTTATAGAAATTCTCTGCCAGAATCAATGTTTTGATAGTTCTGCAACGTGACAGAATTTTTATTGCACCGGCAATGTTTGTCAGGGAGTTGTTGGAAACAGAAAAAAAAAAAAAAAAGAAGTGATTTCAGTCCTTGAATGTTGGGAGGGATCTCTCCAGTTAGCTTATTAGCAGCTAGATGGATCGCTATCAATGACTTACAATCAAAAAGGTTAGTTGGAAGGTCCCAATTGAAATGATTATTGCTCAAGTCAATAATGGGAAGGTGAGTGAATTCGTAGAAATTGAAATTGGAAAGATCACCACTGAGTAAGTTTTCCCTTAGCGTCATTACTGTGAGTTTTGTACAATTTGCGAGAGAAGGGGGTAGACCACCCCTGAATTTGTTTACGTGAAGCTGTAGGATTTTCAGGTTGGAGAGTTGTCTGATATCTGGAGGGATTATTCCGGCCAGCTCATTGCCATATGGAGCAAAAATCGTTAGGTTTTTGAGATTGACGATTTCATTGCTAAGTGAACCATTAAGCTTGTTTCCAGGAATCGATAATTCTTGCAATGCTGACAGCTTGTAGATATCTTGGGGCAGAGGTCCTGAAAGTGAATTGAAACCTGCTCGCAAAGCCTTCAGGTCTGTACAAAGTCCAACATCTTGGGATATCGGGCCATTAAAGAGGTTTAGAGAAATCAAGGACTCCGATGGAAGGGGAAAGGGTACAAATGAACCAAGGAATCAATCCATGAAAGCTGTTGTTGCTGAAATTGAGACTTACCAAGTTCATTGTTTCCCTAAGGGATTCAAATGCGATTGCTCCATAAAAATTGTTGCTTGAGAAGTCAAGGGATTCAAATGCAATTGTGGCTGGAATAGATGGTAACTGCCATAGAAACTATTGTAGCTCAAATCAATGACTTGCAGCTGAGTCAAGGGCATAAAAAAACCATCAGGGAAAGTGCCATCAACAAATTGCCGCTGAGATTTAGTTCGCGAAGGTGGCTGAGATTAGCAATGGAAGGAGATAAGCTTCCATCAAGCCCTCTGAATGGCAGGTTTAGACAGCTTAACCTCCCAGTACTGAGATCACAAGTGATGCCTTCCCAGGTGCAGCAATCAAATAAAGGAGGCGGTGAAAGGCTTCTGCAGCAATCTTAGTTCGGCACAACAAAGAAGGATGAGAAGAAGGATGAGAAGAAGGATGGGTGGAGGAAACCATGGCCGCAGGCTAAAAGTTTCTGTATGATAACAATTAATGATGAGGCCGAAGTAGCATATAAGACGATTAGATGGAACAACTAATATATATATATATATATATATATATATAAACAAGATAGTTGAAGATGAGACAAATAACTGTGTGCATAATACTTTTCTTATAGTTGTGTGTTAGTCATTCAGTCAACAGTCAAGCAATTAAACAAATAACTGTGTGCAGTTTCCATTTAGCTTCTATCCTGTAAATTTCTTTGAAAATGAATGGATGTTTTCCACGCAAGAAAAACAGAAAAAACAAAAGCTCCAAAGCAAAAATTCCTATAAGCAAGTGGAACCGTGGAGCACTAGTAACAATATATATATATATATACATATATAATACTATCAAAAAATATTAGGGTTGACTTGAATTATGTTTGAATTTCTTACTAGTGTGTAATTTTTTTCACATTTTTATGCATTTGTAATCAATGACCACACCACACAGAATTGTCCTAGAACAGCTGGGTCAAATTTTGCTACTAATGGAGAAGAGATGGAATTTCTGTGGGTTTTATCAGACTGAAGATGAAAAGGCTTCTAAGAAAAAGTAGACCAAAATCCAAACGAATTCAGTCTACTACTTTGACATGAGTATATTTAAAGGATTTACTCTGAATGTGGTACGTTTCTGCTTAGGATTGTCTCATGGTTCAAGCGAGGATTACTCTGAGTGTTTGAAATCATTCATCTATGCTTGTTTCATATATTCACTCAGCTGACTTCATATCACTGCAGCGTGTTAATCCATTGGGGATATCTAGTTCAGGGTGATATCCAGAGCTAATTTGAGACACGAATTGATTTCAATCTCAGACCATAATAAAATGAATTGTTGAATCTGGGCTAGTATTCTCATAACTACTTTCATTAGAGATTACGATGGCCTGAGAAACGAAATAATTGTTCTCTGATGAATGTTTGTTAGGATCACATCACTTAGTACAATTGATTGTTTTAGTTGTAAACTTGTGTCTTCAGGGTTTGGGATATCAGGTTCCCTAAAAAATGTGTCGTAAAACAACTTCAATTATGCAACAAGGAGAGTGAGCCCAAGGACTGGACATTTGATATGATCAGTTCAAACATTGAGCAAGGCGAGTTTTAGCTCAGTTTCGACCAATGTATTACATGAATTTCTGATTTAAACCGCTTTGATCCCATAAATTTCAACGTTGGTAATTGAAAAACTAGAAGAATATAGAAACAAGGCCGATTACAAGCTAATCTACTCAAATGATACAATTTTCTGAAGTCTATTCTCAAGTTTTATGAGTCTCTTCTCTTTCCAACAATCTTTAAACAAGGCGAATACGCATCTTCCTCAGTCTTATCAGAATCTTCTCTAGGAACGTTCCTTCTATCTAGAATTTCCACAATGCCAATGTGGAAACGGCAAATCCAACTCCAAAACAAACGCCAACATACAATTAAAAAATGATTTTCTCCTCGAAGATTTTTCTAGTAGCCAAATGATTTGTTGTTACTGGAGGATTCTTGTTTGCTGATTGACCAGTGCAGGATCGTCGCAAAATCTCTCCACATAACCCCGAATTTCCCTCAAAACTTGCACTGGGGAAGGTATCAAACTGGCCTCCGGAGGGTATTAGGCCCTAAAGATTGTTGTTTGCTACACTGAAGAAAGACAAAAAGTGAAGATTTCCTAGTGATACTAGAATTCTACCAACCAACTGGTTATCTGAAAGGTCTAATCTTTCCAAGTTTGTGAGATAAGAAATAGTGTTTGGAATACTCCCAGAGAAATTGTTGTCCCTGAGGTCCAGGACATGTATAAACTTTAATCGGCCGATCTCAGGCGGGATGTTTCCACTGAGGTTGTTTGATATCAAATATAATGCCTAAGGAATGCTGACTGCTGAGTAATTGCTCATATAGCAGGGGTGAGGTATTGTCGGGTTGAACGAAGACTAGAAGCTCCAAATAAGTTCGATCCATTTGATTTGTGGCCTCTTGGCTAGCCAATCTTGGCATTTTCATGAGTTCCACCGGGAATTCTCCATATAGTACTGTTCATACTCAATTCCAAGTAAAAAAGGTTAGGTAGACTACCAAAGAAACTTAGAATCAAGCCCGCCAGATTATTGTATGATAAGTTAAGGACCTTTAGGGTTGACAGTTTTGCCAGCCAATGTGGAATTCCGCCACCGAATTGGCAACCACCTAAACCAAGAACTTGGAGATTTTGAAATCCTTGAGAATCAAGCCAATTATCATTCTCATCACCTGGCAATTGTTCATTGTTAAAACTCTTTGCGAGAATCTCCGTTCTGATTGCTCTGCAATGTGGCAAACTTCTTAGAGCCGCAACAACATTTGTCAGGGAGTTGTTGGAAACTGAAAGAAATGACAATGATTCTAATTCCTGAATGTTGGGTGGGATTTCTCCAGTTAGCTCATTAGAAGATAAACGAACAACAATTAATGACTTGCAAGCAAAGGGTGGCTGGAAGGATACCAGTGAACAAGTTATTGCCCAAGTCTATCGTGCGAAGTTGAGTGAACCTGGAAAAATTATAACTAGAAAGATCATCGGTAAGTGTGTTTACCCTGAGTATCAGTACACTGAGTTTTGTACAGTTCGTGATAGAAGTGGGGAGCGTATCACTAAGTTTGTTTACATGAAGGAGCAGGTGTTCCAGGTGGGAGAGTTTTCCGATTTCTGGAGGGATTCCGCCAGTCAATTTCATTAACATACAGGGAAAGAATCCTGAGGTTACTGAGACTGGGAATCTTATAGCTAAGTGAACCATTGAGTCTGTTTCTAGGAACAGATAATTCTTGCAACTTTAACAGCTTGTAAACATCTTCGGGCAGAGGTCCCGAGATTGAATTGAAACCTGCTCACAAACTCACCAATTTGGTACAACTTCGAACATCTTGGGGGATTAAAACATTGAATCGATTGTCAGAGAAGTCAAGGGCTATGATGACAGGGGAAATGCTACATATGAACCAAGGTATCAAGCCATAAAAGCTGTTCTGGCTAATATTGAGACTTACCAATTCACTTGCCTGCTTGAGAAATTCAAATTGGATGGTTCCATAAAAGTCATTACTGGACAAATCCAACACCTGAATGGACGCCGGAATCATACCCGCAGAAATTTACCCCCCTGACAGACGGTTGTAGCTCAAATCAATTACTTGCAGCTGATTGAGGGGCACAAAAAAACCATCAGGGAAACTACCAGCCAACAGGTTGTCACTGAGATTAAGTTCGCAAAGATGTATGAGGTTAGCTAGGGACGGGGATAAGCTTCCAACAAGCCCTCTTGATGACAGCCTTAGACTAGTTACCCTTCCTGTCTTAACATCACAAGTAACACCGTCCCAGGAGCAGCAATCAACTGAAACATTCCATTCAAGGCGAGACAATATAGTTTCTGTGTTATTTGAGAAGGACAGTGACGAAGCATGGATCTGCATCGTCGTCTCTAGTCGATTGAATCGGCGGCCATGGTGGAATCGAAATCCTAAAACTTACAAAAGAGGGTCTCGGGGTCTCCCGAAGGTAGACACTCCGATACTTATGTCAGTAAAACTAATTGTAATAGGGGTATGGACTATGGTGCGTAGAGCGTACCTTTGATGTGAGGGGTTGATCCCTATTTATAGAGCTAGGTTATGAAACACTTTCATGGTAGGAAAGTAAATTAGGAACCGACCTAGAAGCTTCCGAATAGTCGGTTAGATCGTTTCTCGAACTTGGGCCAGCCACGGTTGAGGGCAGCGTATATTGGACTCATCAAGTGCCCCTATCAAGTCTATATTTTGAAGTCTGAAGATAGTATAGGCTTGATAATATGAAGTATAAATTTTCCTCAAGTTCGAGAAGAACTGACTTGAATCGAGAACCTGCGACAAGTTAGCATCGAAGAGAAATCAAAGAAATGAAAGCATTAGCACGTACCTTGTCGAATATACGTGTCACAAAAGGGGATTGACATTTACGCCAATTTGTAAAGAAAGAAGACTCATCAGTACAAACTTTTGAGTGAGAAGTCGATAGGTGATGATCTTAATATTCTGCCCTATGGAGATACCAAAGCAGATGCCTTGTTGAGAGAATCGAGAAAGAAACGTAGTGGAGATTCCCACTAGTCTCAAAATTTTTGTCTTTAGCAGTGGCTAAGATATACCAACTATAGGAATGAGGAGTCTACTGGGGGAATGTGACGTAAGCTTCTGATCGAGAAGTAATAGACCCAACCCTCGAGAACAACCACTGAGTAGTGGATCGAGAAGATTAAGGAATGAAGACAGAGAATACTCGATATCGAGAACATAAGTTTAAGAAAGAACACTGTCTGGGATTGAACCGCACGTTGAGAACTTGCCCCAGCATAATCTTTTCTGTAAAGAAATGTTAAAGACCCCGGAGATTTGAATAGACTAGCTCGAGTGTAGTAGAGCATTTAAAGAGTCGAGACTGTCACCATAAGCATCCTCGATTGTCGAGGAGGGATAAAAGAGAGTAGAAGACACCGTAGAAGATGCCGCATGTGATTACATCAATGCAGGGATAGTGAGACTCGAGAAAATTCTCTCGAGTAGAACTCTAAAAAAAACTCAAGAATTGCAACTTTCTGACTTTGAAGAAGGTACACAAGCTTTTAAGCTTATTATGTCCGCCCAACCGACCGCTTGCCATTTCTCATGTCCTGAGAAATAAAGCATAGAACCCTTAGTCTGGGTTTGAGAAATATAAATCATGTTGATGTGTCGAACCTGAGTAGATGTATAATGTCGTTGCCCGATACTCGAGCAAGAATCGAGGAGTTATTATGCATTAGTGTGAGAAGAAACAATGCTCCAGTCTAAACTTGAAGACCGTCGAGAAAACTCATAGGAAGAGATCCGTAGATCCAAGATCATCACGAAAAAAAACAAATACACAACCTCCAAACACCTTACACACCTTTCAGATACCTTACACACCTTCCAGACATCTTACAATCTCTCACATACAAATGTTCCTCGTTATAGATAACCCCGGAACTATTACTCATCTCGGAGCCCCCAAGTCTTGGGATGACATTTGGCCGAGACTTTAGATGAGAGTGTAATTTCCGCTACTCAGTTCAAGGCGGTGCCTGATCAAGAAGCCCCCATACTCGGAGGGTTAAGGCAATAAAATGGCGTCTATCAGAAGGAGATGGATGGCAACCGTCATAATCGAAGAAATAGGTCTGTGTTGACAAGGTACAAAGTGAACTCGAGAGCATCGAGAATAAAATCATTTTCTTTCTGATGCATTGGATGATATAATTGATCGATCCAAGAAAGTATACTTGAGAATGAGTCTAGTTCTCATTGAGGTATAAAATACGTGTGTTTAGGTTTAAGGGATAGTCCAACCCTTGTTCATGAAAATGGCAATCTAGGCCTTTCTCAATACTGGATGTCGAGTACACGGCTTATGAGTTATTTGTAAAGCGCTTGTAACGGCTGGATGTTAAGTACACGGCTCTTTTGTAGGCGATCCTAAAGAGGATACCTTTGTATAGACAATTCTGAAGAGAATGTCTTTTCAAGGATAATCCTGAAGAGGATATCTGTGAGGAAACTGGATACGAGCTCCTGGAGTTTAGACTGTTAGTCGAAACAATTAAGGGTAGCATGACCCAATGAATGTGCGGATGTTGAATACACAGCACTTTCGAGGACGATCCTGAAGAGGATGTCCGTCTCGAGAACGGTCCTGAAGAGGATGTCTGTTCAAATGACTAGTCGTATTTAACTGGGTGTAACCGGGTATATGTGATATGCTAGCTCCCACGAGTACTTGAGTGGGCTGCCACTATGTGCATTAGACTAATAGTCCATATCCCGGGTTTAAAGTATGAAGACTCTAAGGCCAGAGCAAGCTTGATGTTGCTACTATCCTCGAGAGATCAGCTACGAGAGTTACACATCTCGACTTATTTTGCCCCAGAGTTTTCGGGTATATTCATCCTGCAACTTAGTCCGAGACATGTATTGCAAGTATAATAATGACATGTTTATGAAAACAGTGTGAAATTCAACTAATAAGCACATGAAAACACTCAAGTGTGATATGTCGCTCTCCTTGATCAAGGATGCACACCCAAAGACTCGTTCGAGCGTACCTTAGTTTAGAGGGAAGGATTCGTCCGAATCCTTTGATGATAATTGTCACGGATGTAGTGTTCTGATGGTGATGCCTCTCGGGCGCAGGCACCATGATGAACCAACATGGTTTTCTGATCCTAACAAAATATCTATTCATGGACTTGTAGATTTATTAGTTGGGTAATAAATTATGGAAGCACGAGAAATGATATGGAATTTAATATAGAATTGGGGGAGTCTACCTCTTTCAAAAACAGTCATTTTGAGACACAAAATGTACAGAGTGGAAAGATCTCACCACGACATGAGCAAGCTATTGAAGCCGCAGTTTGCTTAGCTCACAACAACTATGAAAGAATGCTGCGGAGATCGTGCAATGCTTTTCTAGGGATTTGAACTTACTACAGACCCCCGAAGAGTCATAGTAATTTGACATGGAACTAGACCATCAGATGTGAAAGTCATTGCGGCTTCAAAATGGCAACATTAAGTTAGTTGTTCGGTAGAGTAAGCACAATGATCCATTACAACTCAGGGCTCAAGGGAGAGGAAACATCCTGCAATATGACCTTTAGGGCATATTACCGACAACTGTAAGTACGAGAGGGGTATCTTCCCCTTTTCAAAAGAAAATAAGCATGACCTTGTTATTGACTTTAAGATTAGTCGAAACATTTACGCGTGGAGAGTAAACAAAGCCATGTATATGTAAAAGCTGTAACATCATGCTTTTATACTAATGTGCCATGAGGCAACTAATTGGTAAATAAATCATGCATCTGATAAAGAGTTTTCGTTCAAGAAGTTTGCATGTGAAAGTTCAAGGACACTGAAGAGGTCCAAGAAACTCATATGTCGAATGTGTCATAATAGGAGTGCAAGAACAATCATTCCATGCTTATAACTATCGTAGCATTCATGTTATGATGCAGATGTTCATATATTGAAGCAATTATAAGGAGATTGTATCACTTATGGGTTGGCACTCTTCCAGGGGTATCCACAAGTTAGAGTAATAATACCCATTTATCGAGAGACTCCTCATTGTTGTCGAGGGAACTCGTTCTTGACATGCACCGTGTATTGGTCTTTCATTTGTCCGAGACTACTGTGGTCTAATTACAATCTCGCATCATAGAGGGGCTATCTCTGTTATCATATTTCTGCAAATTCTGCAAAAACAGGAAGAAGTTCTCCCAAAACTCGAGCATGCCTTTATGATGAGAGGTCCTTGCATTGCTATTCTCAAGATCATACAGTAACAGCTTTTCTAGAAAAATGGAGTCAATCAACATAAAGTGCTATGGTTAGAATTTAGATCGTCAACAACAATTAAACTCTACTCGAGAAAGCATAGATGACACAATTCTGTGACTATGCGTGTGAAGGCTAGGTAGTGGCTGATCATGAATGTAAAGATACAAAAACTAGCAAGTTCACACATTGCGTGTATGGAGAATAGGTTAACGATTAACTTAGTCGATGATGTGTAGTCTATGGGATTTGAGATATGATAACTTATGATATGCTATTTATGCAAGGAGATAATAGACAAATAACATATTAATGTCAAGGAGATAATAACACTTATCTTCCTTTTCTTCCCAAGTGGATCATTGCTCCTTGGAATGGGTCATTTTGTAGTCTCAGAAGGATGCTACTCAAATTTTCTTATTGCAAGACCTGCAAAACTAAGTAATACAACTGCGCCAAGTTCGGCCAATATATCGTAATTGCATATTTAATTAGATCTCCTCGAAGGAGGCACACATGTTTAGTATGTTATCTCGAAAGCATAACCAGGATTGCATATGTGTAGAAATCTGGTTAGAAATATGATAATGTGGCAGAATTAAGTTTAGGGCTACTTATCTCTTTCCAAATCAATTGAGGGGATCGTCTCCCCCTTGTCATAGGATAATCTGTGTGATCACGACTGTATGTGCCCTTGGCCCCTCAAAAAATCGAGCTAAGCTTGCATAGCTATTTACTTTGGACAAAACTTTAGCTGTGTTAATAATAAGGTGGTTAGACCCTGGGCATATAAGAATTATGCATGGCTTAAAATGAAGTAAGTATGCGAATGTCATGTTCTCATACAAGAATAGGGCAAGTAGTACCCCAAAATCAAGTAGTTGTGCATGCA